AGCGTCCCTGCTCCCAGAGAATTGTTATCTTCCTGAGCGGAACATCGACTAAAACCCAAGGTAAATAACCACCTTCTTTGAACCCTTTCGCAATTGATCGTTTTCCCCTTTATTTATTATTAAATCATTTTATTGGGGGCTCATACAACTCTTCACACAATCCATACATATATCCATTGTGTGAGGCACATTTGTGCATTTGTTGCCATCATCATTCTCAAAACACTTTCTTTCTACTCGAGTCCCTGGGATCAGCTCATTTCTCTCCTCCCTCACCCACGTCCCTCCCTCCCAAACCCTTGATAATTTATAAATTATTATTATCTTGCCACATCTTACACTGTCCGACGTCTCCCTTCACCCACTTTTCTGTCGTCCATCCCCCAGGGAGGGGATTATAGGTAGATCCTTGTGATCGGTTCCCCCCTTCTCTCCCACCTTCCCCTTCCCCTCCTGGTAAGGCTACTCTCATGATTGGTCCTGAGGGGTTATCTGTCCTGGATTCCCTGTGCTTCCAGCTCTCATCTGTACCCATGTACATGCTCTGGTCCAGGAGGATTTGTAAGGTAGACTTGGGATCCTGATAGTGGGGGGTCGTTCTTCCCTTCAGTATAGCCCTGTCTCCCTGGGTTCCCATGACCAACGACTCTGTCTCTGGGATTGCCCAAGGGGTGATGGTAGTGCTTGGCAGACGGTGGACATTCACTTAAGTTTGCACCGAAGGGAAACGGTGGAAGCGGCGCCCCCCCAGGACCAGAACAGAGGGGCGATGGGCGAGATTCCTCCTCCTCCTCCTCGATTCCGAACACCCGGCTTCCTCCAGAAGCTTCCAGAGCATAGCGCAGGGCGAGCTTCCCAGGCGCGAGGCCAGGACAGGAAGGCAGGGCGGGGGCGTGGCCGGGGGCGTGGCCGGGGCGTGGCCTCCGAAAGGCGGGCAGCAGGGGCGCGCGCTGATTGGCTGGCACTTGGCGCGGGCCTGCAAAGCCCTTACCGCCGAGGCGCGAGGACGGCGGGGCCCCGTGACAGCAGCCAGGGCGCTTCTCCCGCCGCGCGTGCGCGCGCCGCCGCTCGCCCCCTGCCATTTCCCCACGCCAGGCGGCGCCCACCCTTCCCGCTGCCCCCGCGGACCTGCAGGGGGCGTGGCCTGCGCCTCAGACTCGCACCCAGCGGGCCTCGCACCCGCGGCCATTCGCACCTTCGTGGAGCCGAGCGTGGAGGCCGGAGCCACCCGGGGATTCGATCGGGCTCCCGAGTGTGGGGCTGCTGTGGAGCCAGAAGGGGGGGCCTCGCGCCATTTTGCATATCCTGAGGCGGGTGCTGGAGGCTGAGGGGGACCGGGTGGGGAGATGTCCCCGGAGTTGAGGGGAACCCTTGGCTCGTTGATGGGGGGGCGCGGCCGCTTGGCCCCCTTAGCCTCGCTCTGGGCTTTTCGGGGGGCAGTGCAGGGCGGGCGTGCTCGGGGTGCAGGGCCGTGGGAGCCGGGTCTGGGATTTGAGTTTGGGGCCGGCCTGATTTGAGGATCCAAGGTGAAGTCTGAGACATGCAAGGCCTTCGTGTTGGGGTGCTGGGGTCTCCCGCTAGGATCTCTGCTGCGACCCGGGGCCGGGTGGGGGAGGGTGTCAGCATCTGTGTCAGGGTGTCCAGGGCGAGCCCCGTTTGGTGACCGGACGTCTTGGCTTTAGGGCTCTCCGAAGTGCTGATACTAGAATCTGAGGACCCCGAAGTTAGTTTTGAGACGCGAGGTCCTTTTGGGGGGTCTGAGGTCAGCTTTGGGGGCACGGAGGCCTCAGGCCGGATAGGTGGGAGGTCTGGAATCTACAGGAGAGGCTTTTGGGTCTCCATGTTGGGTCCTGGGGCTTTGGGGACTTGTTTTAGGGCCTCGAGCCCCAAGTTAATATCTCGGACTTCTGTATGAGGAGAGGGGGTCTAGGGGAGCCCGCACAGCCAAGATCCCAGTGTTACGGTTGGGCCACAATGAGAGGCTCTGAGTCAGGGTGGGGGTGGGGGTGGTGATGGTCTAGAGGTCTCTGGGGGCCTGAGGTCTCTCTGGGGGAGTCTGAATTTCTTGCTTTCGGAGTTGGCTTCTCGGTGATCAGCGTTGAGAAGTACGGTCCTGATGTAAGGATGGGGGTCCTGTTTGACAATCAGACTATTGTATCTCAGTAGGAGAACTTAGGGCTTTTAGGCTGAGGTGGTGGTCTTTGTGGGCTCAGGGCTTCATTTAGAAAGTCAATTCTAGTGTCTTAACATCTCAGGTGGGCCCAAGTGGTGCTGTTGGGTAAGGGTTGGATTGCTAGCAGCAAGGTTGGTGGTTCAAAGCCACCAGCTGCTCCTTGGGAGAGAAAAACACTGGGGCTGGGTACTCCTGTAGAGATGGATGAAGCCTTGCAAGCCCTCAGGAGAGCAGTTCGATCCCTTCTTATAGGGTCTCTATGAATTGAAACGCTCTAGATAGCAGGGGGTTGGTTTATTGCTTGCTTAGTAGGAGGACTGGTGGCACGGTGAGTTAAGCATTGGGCGGCTGCTAACCCAAGGATCAGTGTTTCAAACCCACCAGCCACTCCTCAGGAGAACAATGAGGCTGTACAGCTTCAGAAACCCTATGTCGGGTCACTATGAGAACCCACTGGCAGTGGTTTTTTGGTTTGTTTTGATTTTTCCTGGTTCATTTCACAGGTTGGGGTCAGAAAGCCAGAGTTCTTGAGCCTAGTGGTTCCCATTTCAGGGGCTGGCGTCAGATCAGTAGGAGCTATGCTTGAAAGTCACAGGGTGAACATTGTTGGTTTTAGTTTTAGACCTAGGCTATGATTTGGGGCTCAATTTTTCAATTTGGGGTTGGTGAACTTCGGTGTAGGGTTTTGGGTCTCTGGGCTGGTATGGGGGGGCGAATCTTTGTGGGCTTCTGAGGGGCTGAGAGGAGCTCCAGACACCCCTCCCACTGCCTTAGAATGCCAGAGATCACTAATCATTCTCTTTTCCCCTCTTTGCAGATGCGGGGTTCCGACGACGGAGACTCGCGTGACCCTGAATGGCCCAAGACAAGTTCCCTGGGTCCTAGTGACAGCAGGTAAGGGCTCCCTTCGTCACTTTTACAGCCCCAGCTGCTGGGTGTCCTTACTTATATGGTGTCCTTTACAACAACCCCCATGAGGAAGTGGGTGCAAAGATGATCATGCCCTGAGGGAGCTGGCAGAGATCATTTCTAAGGTGGCTGCCAGCTTTACAGTTCTGAGTGTCTTAAATACCCTAACTCCCTTTCTTCCACTCACTCAGTCTTTCATTCGTCAAGCACGTAGTCGGTGTCAGCATCTTAGGGGAAATAAACGAAAAGCACACTCACTGCCATTGAGTCAACTCCGACTCTTAGCTGCCCTGGAGGACAGAGGAGAACTGCCCTGACAGGAGTAGGAAGGCTCATCTCTCCTGAGGAGCTGCAGGTATCGAACAAGAGCCGAACTTGGAACCCACGGGGGCAGTTCAGCCAGAATTGACTCCATGACAGTAAGATGAGGCCTTGAGCCACCAGTGCGTCTCAGATTTTCTCCAAAGATGGGATCAGACTTTTCCTCTACCCAAAATACGTAAAAGAAAAGCAGCCAGAGTTTGTCTTATCCTCCATAACCGCTCCCAGTAGCTTCCCATCTATTTCTTTTAAAAGCAAACCTTTGATAGTGACATTAGGAATCCTGGTGGCATAGTGACTTGTGCTTTAGGGAAGTAACCACGAGGTCAGCAGCGCTGCTTCCTGGGAGATTTTCAATCTCCTGAACCAAAGGAAACCCCTGCTGGTGTAGTGGTTATGCTTGGGGCTGCTAACGGCAAGGTCAGAAGTTCGAAACCACTAGCTGCTCCTCGGAAGAAAGTTGAGGCCTTCTAGTCCCATAAAGAGTTACAGTCTTAGAAACCCATAGGGACAGTTCTACCCTGCCCTATAGGGTCACTATGAGTGGAAATCAACTCAATGTGATGAGTGAGAAACCCAAAGGGGCAGTTCCCCTCTGTCCTGCAGGGTGGCTATGTCATGCAGGGTGTCAACTGCATGGCACCTGGTAGGTTTGGTTTGGTGGTAAATCTAGGAGCCCTGGTGGCACAGTGCTTAAGCCTGTGGCTACTAACCAGATGTGGCAGTCCACATAAAGATGCCAGCCTTGAAAACCCTATGGGGCGCTTCTCCTCTATGCTTAGGGTCAGTATGAGTCAGAATCAACTCAGCAGCTATGGATTTGGTTTGGGGGGGGCACAATAAACACAATAAACCACACACCAACTCAATAATGCCCACCCATACAATTTCCCGACACTGGTTACAGTCCTTACGTTGTGTCACCGTGCTGCTTATCTTCCACATCCTTCCATCACCATGACCACCCCCCCAAGTAAAATTCTTCCCCTCCTCTCACCCCTAGTAACCACTACCAATATTAGGGTTGTATCTAATTTGTCTATTTCATAGAGAAACAGTGATCTCCTATCTGTTCTTCTGTGACTGACTTATTTTGCTCAGCATGATGTTTCCAAGATTAATCCTTGTGACCGGCATCAAGACTTCATTTCTCTTGGTGGCTCAGTAGGATTTGAGTGTGGAAGAAAGGCAGGGCTTTCTCCGGCCCTAGAGAATTACGGTCTCAGAAACCACCCTGTCCTATAAGGTCACTGTGAGTCAGCATCGACTGGACGGCAGTGAGTGAACAAGGATTTGAGTAAAGGGGCCGGGGTGGCATAGGGGGTTTCCACATTGGGGTGGCAACCGTGGGATCAGCAATCCAAAACCACCAGTTGCTCTGTGGGAGAAAGATGAGGCTGCCTGCTCCCCCGCTAAGAGTTACAGTCTCAGAAACCCACAAGGGCAGTTTACCCAGGTGCTAAGAAGCGGCTCCTTGGCAGTGACCCGAGGACTTGGGTGTTCGCGTGTGCCTATGTTCTATCCATTTTTTTCTAAACTCATGAAGTTAAGCATCTGCCTGTTCAGGTTCCCTCCTCGGGTTCTGTGCTCAGAAGGAA